GGGTCAAATGCAAATGATTCAGATTCAATTTTGCCATTTGCAGTGAAGCCACGTATAGGATTACATATGCAAAGGTTCCCGAGTGTGCACCAGGAGAGTTCTGTCGAGGTTGGTCTGCCCGTCTAACAGGTCTTGGAAACAAATACGTCAGGAAAATTATGTATTTGTTTCCAGCATGGGGTTTCCAGTTGTCTATCGGTTAATCCATATGACATGAAAGCTAATGAATGCATTGTACTAGATAGATAGATACGTAGATATATAGATACTTTATTGATCCCCATAGGAGAAATTCAGAATAGCAGCAAAAATAAAATTTGAATAAAATCGATCATTCTAAAAAGCTAACAATAGTAATAATATGTAACAGCCCTTCAGGTCACAGCAGCTGAGGTGGAGTAACCTCTGGGTGGAGTAGGACAGGTCACAGCAGTAGAGGTGGAGTAGCCACTTGGTTAGGACCATTTTCTCTGCTCTAGTCCAAAGTAAAAGGCTAAATGCTCCATTTGGAACATCAGATCATGCTGTAATTGAGGTATCACTGTCACAATTGAGGTCTACAGCTAGTACCACTGAGGTGCAGCCAGAACATAGGCCCAATCATTTATCTTGCCTTAATTTTAAGCGAATCAGTAATTGGATACAAATTTGCCAAGCACTGAGGGACCACAGTTGGGCCACTGTCTACTGAAGAAGATGACATAGTCTGGGATCGCGTCTTACATTCAGACAGAAGACATGTTTTATTGTCAATGGTAGAGACAGCACGAACAAAGCACACGATCACAGATACAATAGAATGCAAGTGTATTATACAGAGCAGAGGCATGGAGACCTCCAATCAGCAGCTTCCACGGTGTGCTTGTAGCTTGGCCTTCAGATAGACAAAACAAGGGAAAAGTACTGGCTTCTGCACATTGATAGAATGATGAGTTTAACTTTAACAAAAGTTGCTTCAAAGTGTTATGAAATCTCACATTCCCCCCTCTGGTCATACATTCACGTGTGACCATCAGGATCGATAAACAGCAACATAACATCATAACTCAATACTTCAAAACTCATACTTCACTCGGTACTTCAAAAAACTCAGAACTCGGAATACTTCAAAAACTCAGAAAACTCATAAAACATGTTCAGATCTTTCATAAAACTTGTCAACAATCTTCAGTAAAATACCAAACTTCATCAGTCGATGGTGGTTCCAGATATTGCTTTGAAAACAGTCTCTCCCACTTCTCCGTGTTGGCTTCTTCAGGCTGCATTTGTGTCGAGCCATGAATTCTTCTGTGACGTGTCTTTGAATCACACGTTTCAGCTTCAGTGTCCAGATTCAGCAATTCAATTCAGTCCAAATTATGTCCAAATTCAGAAATCCAGATTGTTCCAAATTATGTCCAAATTGTGTAATCCAATTGTTCCAAATGGTGTCCATGCAAAAGAGGACGCTGGTGTTGTCCATGTCTCAGCAGCTCACAGCCTGAGTGGAATCAGGGGCTGTGCAGATTGTCCATGTGCTGATCCAGATGCATTCTCTTGAGGTTTCTCAGTTTTGGCTTGAAAAAAAAAAACACTTTTTGTGTAAAAAAAAGTAGTCTTCTGTTCTCTAGATGTTACAGACAAGGCCCGCATCCTTCCACCACCTGAAGAAGATGACATAGTCTGGGATCGCGTCTTACATTCAGACAGAAGACATGTTTTATTGTCAATGGTAGAGACAGCACGAACAAAGCACACAATCACAGATACAATAGAATGCAAGTGTATTATACAGAGCAGAGGCATGGAGACCTCCAATCAGCAGCTTCCACGGTGTGCTTGTAGCTTGGCCTTCAGATAGAAAAAACAAGGGAAAAGTACTGGCTTCTGCACATTGATAGAATGATGAGTTTAACTTTAACAAAAGTTGCTTCAAAGTGTTATGAAATCTCACACTACTCTAGTGAAAACATAGAGCTAGCAGCCAAACATTTTTATGCCACTGACATCAACATTGAGTCCTCTCATACCCACTCAGCGAAGTCAGACTAATGCAGGAAAGCAAAATTTACCTTTTGTCATATCCAAATTCAGAACGCTGAGATCACTGAAGCAAGCACATTGGGCCAACTTCAAATTATCTAGAAGTGATCGCGATATGAATGTCTATAGGAAAACAAAGGATGCACTGTGTAGTCTCCAAGACACGTTAGTGTCATATCAACCAAGTCGAGCGTTCACAAAACGCCAGACGTCTGGTGGTTCCTAAGGTCTCAAAAATCACTGTCGGCGGCAGAGCATTTAGCTACCAAGCTCCTTTACTGTGGAATCAGCTTCCCATGTATTTTAAGGAAGCAGATACGGTCTCCACATTCAAGGCCAGGCTTAAAACACTCTACTTTAATTTAGCACAAAGTTAGGCTGTTTTCCTGGATCGGTTTGCACACCTGGTGTGCAATCCATGAATCTTGGTGCTGTAACCGAGGCTAGCCTAGCCGTGGCTGCTGCTGTCTCACCTCCTTTCAGATACGCTCTCTTTATTCAAGGCTAGGTTTAAAACAGTCCTCTTTAGTTTAGCTTATGGCTAGGAAGGTAAGACTCAGGGAAGGCTAAACTCCTCAGACTGTCAGTCAAGCTGCATAGGGAGTCAGTTTGCTGGGAGACGTATGGTAACTTGAGCACTATCCTCTCCTCCTTCCTACTTTATCCGTTTAGCATTTTTAGAATTTTGACCGTAGTTTGTTCATTGCTCTTCACCCGTTGTCCCATTGTCTGTTTCATGGTACGATGACTGGATCTCTGAGCCTGGCCTCCTCCATCTACACCTGCGGACTGCCCCGCCCGACCCGCCTGGGAGTGCTTTGGTCGTGCACCGGACCTGTCCATGTTCAGCGGCCACTGGTCCACGTTCTGTAGCTAGCTTAGGTCCTAGATCATTAGCCTGTCCGTCCGGAGGAGCGGATCCCTTTCTCAAATGGGTCTCCCTCCCTGTGGGTTTCCCTAGTTCTCCCCAAGGTTTCTCACTTTTTCCCACTGGGTTTTTTAAGAGTTTTTCCTTGTCGATGCAGGAGGGTCTTGTTGGACAGTTAGTGTCCAACAGAAAGGATTGGTGATGATCAGGACACTTTAGCATTCTACAACATGTATGGACATTTTCTTCTGTGTGTGCTTTATATTCTTCATGTGTTTTAACTGTTGATTCTCTGATCTGTGTTGGTGATTTCAATGGTTTTGTTAAGTCCTCTGAGATGACTTCTGTTGTGACCTAGGGCTATACAAGAATAAATTGTATTGTATTGTGTATTGTAAAATATCTAAATAGAATCTTTATATTTATGGTTGCAAACATTTACAAAATGTGCAAACTTTGTACTTACATAGTACTTTGAAGAAGCACTGTATGTATTAACAATACAATTATATTGATTATATTATTGGATTATATTATGACTTCATTATGCCCAGTGTCTGAAGGTGACAGAATTCCATCCATCCATCCATTTTCTACCCCTTAATCCATTTTTGGGTCAGGGGGGTGGCCAGAGAAGCCACCCAAGTCTCATAGCACCAAGCCCCTGATCCTCCTGCAGGTGGTGAGTCCACAGGAGGACGGCTGCTCTGTAAGTGTGAGCATAGCCTTGATCTTTCAGCAGGGGCTCCAGACAGGAGGTTAAGTGTTTTGCCCAAGGACACAATGACAGCAGTCATCAGTGGGAGTTGGTAGGGTGACGGTGGCTCAGTTGGTAGAGCATTGGGTCTTTAAGCCTGAAGGTCGTGGGTTTGAGTCCGCCATGAGGTGACAGAATTAAGTTAAACAAAAATCTAAATACTGTGTCCAATTGAGCTTTTTTCTGCATTCAACCACTCGCCAAAGAGGAAATGGTTTACGGTTATAGATAGTGTCCAATTCTATGTACAAGTCATGTAAAATAACGTATGATAAGGCAGGTAAAGCAGAATTTGTACTCAAAAGTGTAATTTACATTCCAAACAAAGACTGTATGCATTAAAAATGAACCGCACAACCAAATATAAACTTCCAATTCTTGAGTTGTATATAACCACATGTCAGTAATTGCCACCGTTTTTGCAATGACCAGGCCAGAAGGTGTGCTCACAGAAAAATACAAATAAAATGCTTTTAAATTTGACGAATCAATGATCTTAGAAGCCTCATAAGATATTGAAGCGCAAGGTGTTGAAGATCGTGTGTGTGTGTGTCCTCAGAACAAATATGAATACAGTTCAATCAAAGAGGAGCAGGATTTATCTCAAGATTTTATTTAAGAATAGAAATTTTCTTCAACAATCACTTTTAGTATCTAGCATACCTATAAATTCTACATTTCATCTAAGAAAATAGACATTTATAATCTTCTGCTAATTCATCATTAATTCACATTCCATACCGTTCCTGTGTTTCTTAAATTACGTTTTAAAACAAAGTGAACATTTTTGACATTTTGCTAACATTTCCAAAGTGAAACCTTTAGAAGATGATAAATTAGTGATGTTATTTAAGTTTAAAGTGAGCGGTGCCTGCAGTGAAACCTTCAGCGCACACGCTCTAGGACGTGTCTCAGACATTTCTAAAGTGAAACCTTTAGAGCATTAGGACAGTTCTGGAAAGTGGGATTGGCTGAATGCGACGCTGTTCTGTCGCCAGCCCGGAGAACGTCTCCAAAAAGTCCCTTTTGTTGACGCCTCCTCCTCAGCACCGCTTCTTCTCCTGCTGCGCGTGCTTCAGCCCGCTGCGTCCCACGCCGGGCTACACTCGGGTGAGCCTGGGCGCTGGGACGGGGCTTCTCCTTTCTCTCCAAACCTCATCCGCACAAAGAATGAGGGTCAGTGTGGCCCGCGGCGCCGTCCGGTTCACACAAAGAACCGGGACGTGTGGCGCGCGCGTGCACGGGGTCACGTGCACGGCCCGGGCCGGGCTCCGGGCGTACGTGCGTACGTGCGTCCTCCTAAGAGGAAAATAAGAGCAGACATCCTGGCATCAGGAGCAGGTCACAGGGGCTTCAGCGCTCGGGCAGACTGATCTCAGGAACCCAGTCGTTGAGCGCGCGCCTCTCTTCACAGAACATGCGCAGCTTCTCCACAGACGGCTCGTCCCATGCGCCTTCACACGGGCCGCTGATCAGCACGCAGTGAGCGTCCTCCTCTGTGCGCCCCACCAGCTCCTGCAGACGCTGGCGGTCGCTCACGCGCACGATGCTGATGTCGTTGTCGAAGCAGAAGGACTGGATGAGAGTGAAGTGGATCTGAAGAGCCACGTCCCACTCAAACTGCTCATCCACAGCCAGGACGCAGAAGGACACGCTGTCCGGGTCTCTGTTGGGACGGGGAAGAAGCGCAGTTAGACATCATGTACTTTATACATGAGATAACATACAAACAAGGTGACAGGGGCAAACACTCACACACACAGTAAAGATACTCACTCGTTCATGACTTGCGCACACTCGTACACTCCCACAGTGAGCCGCTCCTCGCTCTGAGCGCACTGAAGCGCCTCCTTCAGGGCTTTAGCAGGGCACTTCATGTTGACTTCAAATTCTTTAGTATCAGTAGGAGAAGCAGAAGAGTCAGTAGCTCCAGGATTTGTGCTGCTCACAGAAGTGTGCCGTCTTTTATAGCTGGCCCACGGCACACGCCACTCTCCCATTGGCCCCCAGACAAAGGGCCCCTGACCCCCACAGCCCGGGGACACGTGCCTCCTGAGACAGAGCAGATGTTTGAATGGATCACAGACTTTCATCTAAAGCTTTACATAAACCACACAAGAAGTTCAGAAGTAACTTTATCACAACAATACAGAGAACACCAAAATAACTCCACTGAGCTTTACTTGTATCATTTTATGTTTGGGCCAATTTTGAATTGTGTTGATGTTAGAGTTGTGTGATGTATCAGATAAGATTCCACACTTTTGGCTGTTTGTGGTTAAAACTGGGTGTGTTCTGATTGGACTGATGGCTACAGACACAGTGTTGACTAAATATCCATTATGCCAACGTTATTGACTTCTACAGTAACAGAATTACCACCTCATGGCCTAATTTACACCTGAAACAGCTCCAATTCAAGAATTCCTTTCTTTTTTAGTTTAGTTCAGTTGAGTTTGGTTTTTCCAAAGAAAAAATAATGGATCACCAGAAAATTATAAAGCTGTGGACCAAGATATTCTTGAATTCATTGTTCGACTTGGCTGGATTATTTAGATTCAGATTTATTTATTTGCCATTTGCAGTAAAACCACATTGGAAAAACTGTGCAAGACTACCCCGGTGTGCACCAGACACACACCAGAGCTCTTGCCACTTACTTACTTATGTGACCTTGAATATTCTGAATATACTGTGGTGGTGGCTGGTGGTGTGGAGGGGCAGTGGACCTATGTCATGATGGCGTTCTGTGGAAACGCAATGAGGAATGACCTCACTGTCTAGATTGCATTTGGACATATAAAAGATTAGAAATCAAAAAATAAAATAAGAATACAAAAATGAAAAAAACAATTAAAAGAACAAAAATTAAAGAAAGCATCTTCTGCCTGAAGGTGGAGCTAGGACAGTCACGGTGGTGATAATCGACTCTATCAAAGGTAAAGAAACTCCATCCATCTATCCATCCATTTTCTACCCTTTAATCCATTTCTGGGTCAGGGGGGTGGCAGTCAGAGATGCCACCCAAGTCTCATAGCACCAGCCCCTCACTGACCCTCTGCAGGTGGTGAGTCCACAGGAGGACGGCTGCTCTCTGACTGTGAGCATAGCCTTGATCTTTCAGTGGGGGCTTTAGGCAAAGTGGGGTTAAGTGTCTTGCCCAAGGACACAACGACAGCAGTCATCAGTGGGAGTCGGTGGAGAAGGTGCAGAGGTGGGAAACAAACCCACGACCTTCTGGCCTTAAGGCCAATGCTCTACCAACTGAGCTACTGTCGTAAAGAAACTCTGTAGAATTAATTAAATGCCTTTTCATCTGAAAGAATAAAAACAATGATATGAATGACCAGTGAGGTGGTTGCTCATGGTGTCGTTGGAGCCTGCTGTGTTTTGATGATTGGTCCACTGCTGCGGTGGCTGCTTCTTGTGACTGGAGCCAGCCAGGGTTGGGGCACTGGGCCTTGCTGGGGCACAGTGATCATTGTTACAGATTTAGCTTTATTAAAGTATTAAATCGCACTGAACACGAGAAATTATAATTAAGGTATTATTTATTCAATGCTAAATAACAACATTCTTGCATGTATTTGAATTATGTTTATGGGGTCGGAGTCAACAAGTTTTTACTTGTTTTACTGCTTTTCCTTCCCACTCCATTTCGAGCTGATAGGTTCATTTGTAAACACAAATTGATATTGGAGATATACAACACGTGGTGAAACTAGGGCAACTATTGTTGCTTGATTGGATTGTTATGTTCATATATTTCCATGTATACGTTTATACTGTAAGCACAGCAGGCAACATGCATAAAGAATCATGTAAAATAAGGAATGTAAATATTGTAAATACTTTTGATTGTAACATTTCAGCTCGAATGAATAAAAATCACTTCCACTTCATATCTGATACTGCTTTTTTTTTTTTCTTTCAAGAAAAATGTGAAATTATTCAGGTCTCAAAAACATTTCTTGTAAATTATCTTATTCAGAGCACTTTCAAACTTTACCATTGGTAATCCTGTTTCATTTTCACATTTTAAAGCAAAAGCACTTTGGTCAACACCTTTCTGGAGTGACATTGGTAAGGGTCTGCTGTTTATATGAATAGTTGGTGGTGGTGGTCAGAGGAGCCGATGACACATACTGGATGCCTCGTGTCTGTCAGCGTGCCTCAGGGCATTTGTGGCTACTTACACTGTATATGGCCTGAATTAATGATGACATGTGAAGCGTCTTTGAGTGTCCAAAAAAGTGGTATATAAAACCGATACTTTATCATAGAACAGTACTGGGATGGGTTGTTAGTGGATCTCTGAATAACAACTAAATTATATTGAATTGTTAAAATTCTAAGAGAAACCTAAGGATTGGTAAGCAATATGAATTGGGATAATAGTCTTATCTATAATCACTTTTATGGAGTTTTATTGTCCAGCATTATGAACATTGATTTTTACAACACCAAGACGACTTGTGACTGCATACAATGGATATTTTGGCACATCTCAGTGGAGGAGGTAGAGGTTGGCCTCATTATAGTAGATATATGACTGTTTTAGTGTTCCTCATGCGTCAACTCTAAAAGCCTCGAATCTATCACTAGGAAACATGTATTTCACTTTTTTCATGTTTTCTCATATGAAAGCTTGTACTGCTTATAACGATCTCGGGACTTTATTACAAGAGTAGATTTTTATACATCTTACATGTGATAAATAACACGCCGATAGAAATTCACACCCCTCACATCATAATAATAAACATTAGAAGTTAGCCTTACCCTTTAGCATTCGTCGTTAGCATCAGCTGCTAGCATACCTGAGCTGTGTCGGTGGCACGCGCTCCTCATTACCATTAGAATCAAGGCCTCGTGGCAGCCCCTCCCCATCCGCAGGTCTCCTTGGAAACGGCGGATCGATGTAGACAACAGAAGGAACAGCAGCTGTGCTAAAGATCAGAAGATTGTGGCTACTTAAAGCAACAGTGTGTCACTTTGGGAGGTGATACGTTAATTACTTTTGTCATGGACGAGATAAGCTTTTTGCCAACTCAGAGCAAAGAACAAAAAGTGTTTTTAGTGTATTTAAAAATACACTAAAAACATCTGCAAAGTACAAACATGGAAGGCCCTAAAAGTGCACAGGGCATTCATGCATTTATTGTGCACAGAGCATGTATTACAGTAAGATAGGTGATTATATTTCATCATAATAGAATGGATAATAAAATTGTCTGTTCCAAGATAAAGACAAAATTACTCTTTCTTTATCAAAACCTATGTACAATACGTAAATGTTTTTAAACTAATAATATGTTATGCATTTATATACATTGCATTTTCAAGTTATTCTTTTCATCACTGTGATAAATGTATACTGTCGGTATCGATATGTGAAGCAGATATCCCCACTAGATCTTTTAGTTGATTATTATTAAGATAAGATGAGATAGACTTTAATGATCTCACTCAGGAGAAATGTACATGTCACATCAGGCATGGATAGAATCATTCAAGAAGAAAGAAAATGTGCAAAGAAAGAAGTGTGCAAACATGTTAAATGCAGGATATATTAAGCACAACAAAGTGGCAAAAAAGCAATTACTGATCATAGAAAGTGGATGTTTTAAACTTGCATACAAGTTTGTTTAATTGTTAAAAGTGCACAGGGCTTTAAAAATATAATTAGATCAATTGTAATAGGTTTGCTGTGATTTCAGGTAGAAAACAAATAATTTCAGACTTCCTAATTATTAAAGAAATTGGTAGCTGGAAGCTGGATCATTGCATCCCTAAGTGTATTTCCTTATATCCCCAAGCACAACAATTAAACTGTGATCAAATCTAATGATACTATAATAGACAGAAAAGTTAAAAAGAGCTCAATCAATTATAATTGATGAAATAATGATAATGTACACTGCACGTCTGGCTCCAGGAATGTAAACAAATAATCTGATAGTTCAGTCTTTTAATACATATTTGTACAACTCTTCCAAAGTACTACTTTAAGGTAGAGTATCTTTTTTATTTCCTAAATTATACTTTTTTTTTCTCAACAGAAAGAGTCTTGTAACATTTTTGTGAATGAATCTGCTTTACCAGCTCCAGAGAAGGCTCCAGTGCGGGTCTGGTCCGTCCTCTCCCCAGGTGCAGCAGAGGGGTTTCCTCTGTCCTTTCAGCTCCTGCTGTTTTACACTTTTATGTTTGCTAGTTTGTAAAGCTTGTATGTCACCTCTCCCCAGGCGAACAGTAGATTGTTGGGTTTGGAGTTCAAAGTACTCAAGGTGATCTCCATAGGGTATAAGAGGGGTATTCTTTTATGACGCTGTTTTAATCTGATAATTCACATTAAACTAAAGCTCTAAAAAGATGTCCCATTAATCAGCAGCTTTTTTATCCTTTTTTTGAGTACTTGGTTTAAATCCATATACACTGCAGTTATACTGTGGGGCAAAAAAGTATTTAGTCAGCCACTGATTGTGCAAGTTCTCCCACTTATAATAATGACAGAGGTCTGTAATTTTCATCATAGGTACACTTCAACTGTGAGAGACAGAATGTGAAAAAAAATCCAGGAGTTCACATTGTAGGATTTTTAAAGAATTATTTGTAAATTATGGTGGAAAATAAGTAATTAGTCACTTCAAACAAGGAAGATCTCTGGCTCTCACAGACCTGTAACTTCTTCTTTAAGAAGCTCTTCTGTCCTCCACTCGTTACCTGTATTAATGGCACCTGTTTGAACTCGTTATCTGTATAAAAGACACCTGTCCACAGCCTCAAACAGTCAGACTCCAAACTCCACTATGGCCAAGACCAAAGAGCCGTCGAAGGAGACCAGGAAAAAAATTGTAGACCTGCACCAGACTGGGAAGAGTGAATCTACAATAGGCAAGCAGCTTGGTGTGAACAAATCAACTGTGGGAGCAATTATCAGAAAATGGAAGACATACAAGACCACTGATAATCTCCCTCGATCGCAAGATCTCATCCCGTCGGGTCAAAATGATAATGAGAACGGTGATCAAAAATCCCAGAACCACACGGGGGGACCTGGTGAATGACCTGCAGAGAGCTGGGGCCAAAGTAACAAAGGTTACCATCAGTAACACACTACGACGACAGGGAATCAAATCCTGCAGTGCGAGACGTGTCCCCCTGCTGAAGCCAGTGCATGTCCAGGCATGTCTGAAGTTTGCCAGAGAGCACATGGATGATACAGCAGAGGATTGGGAGAATGTCATGTGGTCAGATGAAACCAAAGTTGAACTGTTTGGTATAAACTCAACTCGTCATGTTTGGAGGAAGAAGAATACTGAGTTGCATCCCAAGAACACCATACCTACTGTGAAGCATGGGGGTGGAAACGTCATGCTTTGGGGTTGTTTTTCTGCTAAGGGGACAGGACGACTGATCCGTGTTAAGGAAAGAAGGAATGGGGCCATGTATTGTGAGATTTTGAGTCAAAACCTCCTTCCATCAGTGAGAGCTTTGAAGATGAAACGTGGCTGGGTCTTCCAGCATGACAATGATCCCAAACACACCGCCCGGGCATCAAAGGAGTGGCTCCGTAAGAAGCATTTGAAAGTCCTGAAGTGGCCTAGCCAGTCTCCAGACCTCAACCCCATTGAAAATCTGTGGAGGGAGTTGAAAGTCCGTGTTGCTCGGCGACAGCCCCGAAACATGGAGGAATGGGCCAAAATACCAGCTACTGTGTGTGCAAACCTGGTAAAGACCTATAGTAATCGTCTGACCTCTGTTATTGCCAACAAAGGTTATATTACAAAGTATTGAGTTGAATTTTTGTTATTGACCAAATACTTATTTTCCACCATAATTTACAAATAAATTCTTTAAAAATCCTACAATATAAATTCCTGGATTATTTTTTCACATTCTGTCTCTCACAGATGAAGTGTACCTATGATGAAAATTACAGACCTCTGCCATTATTTGAAGTGGGAGAACTTGCACAATCGGTGGCTGACTAAATACTTTTTTGCCCCACATATGTTATTGGAATGGCAGGTTTTTTTTTTTTTATAGTAATCTGAATGAAATATTTTGAAAGTGTAACTAGAAAGTTTTGGATGTCTAATTAGGCTCCTTCCTACTGAAAAAACACTGGTAAAGATTGCGGATGTTTTCCACTGTGGTTCAGACCCATGCTTTTCACCACTGGAAAGACAGGAAGATGTCAAGAAGGGTCAAAGCAAACTTCACGCTCTCAGGCCCTGTTTAGAAGGAGATGCTGCAGAGACGCTGCAAAGCAATTAGCAAAAACGTCCAGGCTCCATATTATGGTGCTTTCAGACCGCAAACGCTCAAACGCTGAAGCCCCGCTCACCAGATGCGCGTTCTCTAGTTTTCAGACGCAGGGGTCTTCACACCAGAACGTCCTGGCCAGCACCGGAAGTAGCCGGCCGGCTCTGATGCTAACAGAGTTGTGCTAGCGGCTTCTCGTGTAAAGATCTTCTCCAATAATGCAGCTTGGCAGGGTGTCTGTGTACAGAGACTTTCCACGGACTTTATATAATAGTAGTATGTGTTCACGGTGGTGCGCAATAAGTTTATTTTATTATTAAACAGTACTTCTGCATCGGCGAACACACTCAAAGCAGTTGCATAAAGTCACGGGAGCATGACAACGCATATATTCACAAGCACAGAGTCCCCCAGTGTCAACCCTGGTTTAGTCCTGATGTAGCTCCTGTTTTGGCTGTTTACAGTAAGTTCAGTCTGCTCGCTCAGACCACTAATGTCCCCGTGATCACTTTGTGGCTCTCTGATTGGTCGCTGCACGAATGTCCCGAGGAAAGGTTGAGCAAAGTTTATCTCCTGCGTGCGTCGATTTTCCGCTCCTGCTCCTCCCCTTCGACTTTCCCGTGCAGTCTGTGTGTCTCTACTGAACAATCACCATAGACTTTGCATTGAAAGCCGACGCAACGCATGATTCGGTCTGAAAGCACCATTTTCAAGTGCACATACACCAAAACAGAAAACAAAGTAGTTCTAGCAGCCAGCCAGAAGAGGGCTGTGTAACGTTACAGGATAACCACTTCCTCAACAACATCCTCGTGAGGCCACCGCAAAGATGTGAAAGAATGCACCAACATTATTTTGCAATCTAGAGGAGCTGCGGAAACTGAAACTATAGCTTAGCACGGTTTCATTTGGAATTCTCCTCCGCTAAATGGAGGAGAATGCGGTACAACAACTCCCGCCATTGTTGTTTACGTTTGTTCTCGGCTACTGCTTATCAAAATGTTCGTGCGGGGAAGTGGAGGTCATAGCAGGCAGAAAATTCACACCTTTTTGTGAAACTGCCCCCCACTGAGCAGCGTATCTGTTCTGTTGCACTCTGGAGGCTGTTTCTAAACACTTGCGTTTTTCACCCGCTGAAAAACTGTCTCTGTCTAAACGGGGCCTTAAAGTAAGTTTTCTATAGTCACAGCACAGAGCACCCAGGTCCAGAGGGAAGCATGACAAAATGATCATCCACATGGAGCATAATTTTTACAAGGACAACTTTATAAAGGAAAGAGCAGCACGTGCAAAATCCCAATTTCTGTCGGTGGGAGCCTCACTCTTGTTATGCTGTCATTATGCAAACTAAAGTATTGTCTCTTGTGTGACTTGTGTGTAATTTTCACCTTCTTCACATGACCCACATGTAAGCATGCTTTATCTGGTCATGCTTTTCACACTAATTACACCTTAACCGTAACTATAGTGAAAAAACGTTGGACACCATATTTCACAAATTTAACACTACTTTATATCAATGTGTATCTCAGTGTGA